AGTGCGACCACGTTTAAACTCATTAAACTAGTTTTAAACAGTGGCACGAGATGGGACTTCATCGTGAAAGGCCAATCGAAGTCTATCATAACTTTCTTGTTGACTTAAATGACATCGAAAGACATAAAAATTATTGTACGAAAATTTTCTCGCGTTAAATTCATGCTGACGTGACACAGACAATTTTCAATTTGCCGCCAAATCGTAAACAAATGAAAAATTAATAAAATACATACACAATAATATTGGCAAAGAGTTCCATTTTCAAAACTTAAACTTACTTTTATTATATCATTTACAAGTGGCCAACCTCTAAAAACTTTCAGTGTCGGCCTCGTACGGCAGGTGATTGAAATTCCAGCCCTGCTTTTTGATGATCTAATCACGTTTAACTTGGTTAATATAATAATATATGTAATAAAAAATATCTTAATCCCGCTAATGTAGCGATAGGTTTACTGTGCTCTATATATACTGTGCGCTCAAGCAACGCACCTATGGGCGTTGCATATATGTAGACATCTATGGGTCTCAGCATACACTTAACATTAGATGGATTGTGTACTCGTTTGTCACCTTTATTCTATAAAAAAAAACAATCCACGAATCCGATTAGCCGTTGTCTGCAATCAAATGAATTTCAAAGGCAAACCCAATTACTTGATTGGTAACTACAAGATTATTGCAGTAGAGGTGAGATCAAAGTTAATTACCATTAGCACCTCTGTTTCATTTCCTAGTGTGCGTGGAATTTTTTACGATTTTCAGTAAATGAAATTAAATTTGCCTCGATCTGAGTGCACTTTCCAACTAGCTATCTCTTTACTGTTTGTGCCAAGTTCATGTTTTTCATCTTTCGAGTCCAGCTGAAAATCTTTGTGCTCCTACTTTGTGTCTTAGCTGCTGATTTTGTATTTTTTTTTCTTATTGCATGTTATGATCATAGTCAACGTTGTGTTATTTTTATGAATGTTACTTTTGTATTGTGTTATTAAGTAAAATAGTGGATGCAGATGTCTCAGGACTGTGTTTTGTGGTATTCCTTGGCCTACATTCAACAGTGGACTTGTAAAAATGTAATGATGATGTTTATGAAGCCAAAAATTGTTTCCTTCTTTCTTTCCAATATTTCTGCTCAACAAAGTTTTTTTACGGTTCTGTAACTTGATTCAGTTGATTAGTAAATTAAAATTTGCAAATAGGGTATTTTACACCATGTAAAAAAATCCAAAAATATAGTATATTTATGATTGATTTTGTAAAAAGTAAACGCAATATATTGATTTCTATTTATAAAAATGCTTTATAAATTTTATATTTCAACTAGCTCGCCAGGCAGACATTGTTCTGCCCTTTCCAAAGACCCTTCCTATAAAAATCCCTAAATTCGCAATAAAAAATTTTGACGGTCATTTATCGGGATAAAAACTATCCTATCTCTCAAGTTGGACCAAAATGCACACAATGTGCAAAATTTAATTGAAATCAGTTCAGTAGTTTAGGAGTCCATCGCGGACAAACAACGTGACACGTAATTTTTATATATAAAGATTTTAAGAATATTTTTTTATCTGTGCCTCAAAAATGCAAAACGCTGTCCGCTATATTAGATACCGTCGTGAAGTCACTAATTAAGAGAAGAATCTAATGTGCTGTGCATAGAAATATTAAAAAGAGGTGCTGTGTATCTAACTAGCTAATTTCGAAATTTTTCAAGTTATCATTACGATTGTTGAGTTTTATTCCGAATTTTATTGAAAAGGCATCATGGAAGACGGATTCGTAAAAGCAAAAAGTACTTATCTACCAAGGATAAATACATTAATTATGACAAATTGCATGCAGTGCAGATTTTTGTTCTGGCGAGTTGAGGAATGTTAAAACATCAGTGTAAGTACCTATTACAAACTTTTATTTACACAATAACAGGTCAGAGTGTATTTTCATAATACATAGTTGTGCTTATCTATGATTACAATCTCATATAACCTAATTCTTCAATTTGTGATGGCTTCATGACTGGCGGGAGGAAACGCGAATTTTTAAATTAAAATTACAAGTCTAATTTTAACTTCAACTTCTGAAGAAAAATTCTTTAATTTTTATACGAATTAAAATATAGAATAAAGAGAAATGCCGTCCGATAGTGACGGCATGGATAAAAATATGGATCACGACGCGGGCGGGAAAAGAAAACCGCCAAAACGCAATCAAGACCTGCAGCAGGTAAATTATGGTTTTTATAAACCATACTACAAATTAAATTATAAAAGAGTTTTCCCTGAGTCAATGGGAATGGCTGAATACACGGTTTTTATTGAGAGTCGTAAAGAAGGAATTAAACTTTGCAATACGAATCCCTTAATGTTGGCGGGAATTTTCAAAAACGAAATTAAAGGAGTCACTAATATAAGAAGAATAAACGCTTCTAAAGTAGGGGTGGTGTTTGCGCGGGCGATTAACGCCAACGACTTTTTGAAAAATGAAAGTTTCTTAGAGAAGTATGATTACAAGGCATTTATACCAGCAAGGGCGGTGGAAACAATCGGGGTACTCAGGTATGTTCCCATTAGCATAAGTAATGAAGAACTGTTTAAAAAACTATCATCGAAATATGAGGTCATTGTGCGTCGTTTCACAAAAAAAGTTAATGGACAGATCAAACCGTTCAGCTCTGTAAGTGTAACTTTTTTGTCAACCGACTTACCTGACTTTGTACATCTGGATTTATTCCAATATAGGGTGCATCAGTATATTGCCCCGCTTTTACAATGTTTTAAATGCTTTAAATTTAATCACGGAGCCAAAATTTGTAAATCAGTGCAACGGTGTTCAATTTGTGCAGGTGAACATTGGTACACTGAATGTAAGGAAAATGCGGTAATTAAATGCATAAATTGTAGTGGCCCTCATGTCGCAATTTCTAGAGATTGTCCAATAAAAAAACAAAAAATTGATGAAAAATATAATAGGTCTACTTATGCAAAAGTCTTACAAACAAAACAAACTCAAAATTTATTTAACAATTATAACGAAAATTTCCCTTCAATGCCTACAAAAAAAAAACAATGGATTCAAAAACATCAATCACAAGTTAAATCTAATGACTCTCCTAAAGTACACAAATCAAAGACGAAAACTACCCAAACTAATACCACAACTAATAATAATGACACACTTATTGACCAAATTATAACAAATGACAATATTTTGAAATCAATTATTGGAGCATTGGTGGCCACGGGTAACTCAGGTCGTAAACGTTGCTTGTTGCCACGTTGCCAATGCTAACTTCAACTGAGACGTGATCCTTCACGGTGATCATTTTATTAGCAATTTGTCTTCTAGATTTGCTCTAATTTTGTGGAATACTTTATTGTATTTTGTTGTCATTAGCAGAGATTTAAATCTCTGAACGTAAGACAAATTTTGTCATACAAACTGCAATCCGACTGTATACTGCGATTTGTTTAACAATATAAAGCGAACTTTATTCTTGGTTGTATCGTGACGAAAAGTCAACACGATTTTTCTTTTTATTAAGCATTTTATTTTCTGTTCAAACCCAACGTAAGGTGTACGTAACTTCTGAAATTTATGACACAAAGGCAATAAAATGTAACCAATATTTAAGTCTGTATCTAATACAGGCTGATAAGACTAGATAAATAAACGTATGTCGTGGTGGCAGGTTATCTGCCCGGATGATGAAAGATCGTCGGGCGAGGGTAGTACGTTAAATACGAACGAGTCGCATCCGCGTTTACCTGGTCGAGTAACTGTTTCTTCCCGATTCTTGGACGCATAAAAAGCCGATGAGCCTCAATTATTCTACAAGCACAACATAAACTGACAACATGGCGGAGCGCGACGTTGCCAAGCCGGGCGGCTGACTCGTCACGTGACGTCACGTCTCAAGATGGCCGCCGTACCGGTCGCTTCCCCCCGCTCCCACCCGTCAGCCGGATCCATCCGCGTTGCTATAATAATAATTCAGAATGCAACCCGAAAGGAAACCGAGCGAGAATAGATTGAAATTTAATGCATCGAGCGCGTCGGTTACACGCGTTAATGCTAATTGTTATTCTACGGCAGCAGCTGTTTACTTTCGTTGAATAATGTCGGCTCTGTTAGCGGAATCGAGGTTCCTCGGATGTGCTGCGACTTCATGATTCACTTCGCCCCGGCGCACAGTTACGTTTTAATTATTTGTCGTGAATTCTGCTCTGAACTCACCAGTTAATTAAAACTCTTAGGAGATAAAAGCCCGAGCAACAAAACTAAAATAAATGGCGTCATAGGTCTAATCTATCTATCTATTTTTACTAAAATATAACTGTTGTTAGTGGGTGAATCATTTTTTGTTTATGAGCTCACTTTACCTTGACTAATAGTTTTTTGTCTTCGTCGTGCGATTATTTTACCAACGACTCTGTTATTACTTTATCTTACTAATTAATGATGAACAATATATAATCACAATGAGGAAATCGATAGATAATTGATGTACTGCTATTATTAGGAAACTGATCTTTAGTTGGTATTTTGATCGAAGTTTTACCCAGTTATGAGCTATAACCATGGATCATGGGAGTTTTTATTGTAATGCACATAATTCCGGTCGGCTTGAAAACAATCTCATCGTCGATGCTGGTGTTGAGGTGTAATTAATGTTCTGACTGCATATGCCTCGGCACGTCGTGCGGGCGTGCGGGCGTGGGGCGGCGCGGGGGGCGGCTAACGGCGCGTCCTGCGCGCGCTGACGTCACCGCTCGATAGCGGCGCGCCCGCCCGGCGCCCGCACCGCGGCTCAGTCCCCGCTAAGCAGCCGCGCGAACCGCACGCAAGGCAAGCTCTCCGCACGCCGATACGAATGTGAAACCAGTGTTTGCGTGTACCATGGTGACAGTGTCTCTCGACGCGAGTACAACTAATCAGTGAAAATTTACAAAGGAATCGAACAAAACCGATCTCTCCCGTTCCGTTCAACGGCCGGCGAGATGTCGGTGATGCAGAAAAGACAGCACTGCTACCTGTGCGATCTGCCCCGTATGCCTTGGGCGATGCTGCACGAGTTTTCCGAAGCGGTGTGTCGCGGTTGCGTGAACTATGAAGGCGCAGATCGCATAGAAGTCGTGCTGGATACAGCTAGGCAATTAAAACGAGCGCACGGATTTCAAGAAGGCAGAGGCCCGACGCACGCGAAAAGCGCCCACCGAGCGCCTTTAGAAGCGCACCAGAATGGAGGCGAGAATACCGGCCGAGGCCAACCGGCACCACCAGCACATCACGCGCCCACTGCAGGCTTTCCGCTTCATCACACACGTCCTACACCTAGCGCGGGCTTATTAGCCGAGTACGGAAGTCGACGAGAAGAGCACGAAGGACGGCGGTTGACGCATTTGCCCACTCATCATCTTCCTACTCACGCGGGTGCCCGTCTCGCCCCTGGACTCACTCTTAAGCGGCCACTTGATGACGATGATCACCAAACACACCATGAGCCTGCGAAGAGGCTTTTAGAAGAGCACTCCAGACCCCCGCTAACACGCGGAGAGTCCCTTCCGGCCGTGTCCCTTGCGGCTCCGTTCGCCCCCGAACGAGTTTTCAAGCAAGAGAAACATCCACTCCGCACGCCGTCTTTCGACGCGTCCTCGTTCAAAACTAACGGTAAGTTCATTTTCACTTTCTTTGCATGTCTTTTTCTCGCATCAAGTTGTATTTCAACTGGAACTGTTTAACGAAAACTTGAAATTAGTATTTTAATATTAACGCGCATAATTTTAAAAGTAAGTTGTTTATTTATGATGTGATGTTTTAAGTTTGAGAAATGACACTTGACATTTTTATTTAATATCGTCAAAAGCAAAGATTTCTCTTCTACAGCCAAGTTTTAAATTGATTATTGGGTATTTCGTTTAAAAACTTTTTCGCGGCTGTCTTTTTAACGAATATTCAAGAAAGAGAATCATAATATAACAGATTAACTTAAAAAAAATTGTAGGTATATCGTCGTTAAAATTGATTCGTTGACTCCGAAGTAAAAAGAAGCATGTGATTTTTCTCATAACTCCGTCGTTTTGTTACTTTTTTTCTAATTGATCTTAAAGCGAACCCATTTAATTATGTATAGATATGTATTTTTTTAACACTGAATTTATATAACGTGTTTTAATAATTATCTCAAGTTCAAACTATCAATAGTCCTTTTCTACCGACTTCAAAAAGGACACGGTGCTCAATTCGACTGTATGAACTGTATGACTGGGTGAACCGATTTCGAGGATTCTTTTTTTATTTGAAAGCTGGTGCTTCACATGTGTTCCTATAGAAATTGATCAAGGTCTGACCAAAGGTTTTTGAGTTATTCTTAATAAATTTATATTGAAGTCGGTTGTACAAAATTTGTCACTTTAAATTATGAAATTTCTTAAACATAATTTAACCCTGAACAAGTTTTGTATAAATACGACGAAAAAACATTGATTAATCCATCACAAATACACATAAACCTATAACTATAAAGCGTTAAAATGCAGATCCGTCATTGTTCTACAACCATGAAGTTTTAACATTTATCAATTGTAACAACAAATACCATTCTTTAATTTGTATTTCACGGATCTATAAAAAGCTGTGGTAAGTCGTAGGGATTTTAGAAAGATCATCTACATCTTAGTCAACATATTTTGTTTAAAATTAAAATTAAATCATATACTGCTAACTTTTCATATAAAATTAATTCTAAACATGACTTTTATTAGAAAAAAATGGACTTTAATGAACAGACGGATTTAATATCCGAACGTTGGGTAAACAATTATGCTGATACAGCACAACAGAAATGCCATTGTTTACCAATAACAATGTGGGTTAACATTGTAAAAATAGCGATTCGGAGTCACGCGTTAAGCGATAACGCACGATAGCGGAACGCGTACGTGTCCACACGGACAGCGGGCGTTTTGCGCAAGCGTTCGGGGGATTCATATCTAGGTAGGCATTAACTCAGTCCATAAACACGAAACCTGTTGGACTGGTTGAGCGTTCTCGAAAGCGAGCCCGCGATCGCGGCCTCTCGCACACCGCCGCGCTACGTACGAACACCCACGTAATGCTGACAGAGCGGTATGGCAACGCCGCGTGACGACATTTTCGCTCTACGTATGTAGATAGGCCGGCCAGTGAAAAAATATAACGCCTGCCTACGCTTGGCACAGTCGCTCGACCACATTCCGCTGGCGTGTAGGGAGCCACGAGCTGCCGGCCAAAAAGGTCACCGTACGTGACGTCACCACCTCCATATGGGCCGCGATGCGACCGTCTATCGCGCCCTTTTCTACCATCGTATCTGTTTACGTCCCTTTATTTTTATCTCGTTCTAATAATTCACGACATATTACGGTTTAAATATGGACTTGCTAAATCCAGCCAATTACGATTTTTTTTAAATCAAATTCCATAACCTTCAATAATAACCTCAAAATCAAACTGTCTAACGTGACATCGCGCTTTCTATTGTTTGTTAATGTAACATGCATTGTTTTGACGTCCACATGTACTATTGCGTTCGCCGATTCAATCCTATCAAAGATACGCGTTCATGTCCCAAGAGTGTTTCACAAGTCGGCAGTGCAATGGCGCGCATACGGAACTAGCGGGACGTTTGGCAACGCCGCGATATACTTACCTACCCGTCTACTACCACAGTAGGCCGCCCAGTGACACACGCACGACGTAAGCATACAACATGCTATTTATATGACATTATGAGCGTGTACGTGTTTACTATCGGCCCACTGCATACGATGTGTCATCCTGAATACTCGTTCCGTCCTGAATATTCGTAACGTCCACATGGACATGCCATTTGGATATTAAAGATTCGTGTTATAAAGGATGTTCGAAGGAAACCGATTTATTTCTTTAAAAATAGTTGATGCTACTTCAAAAATACCGTTAGCGAATTAAAGTACAAAAATCAAACTGTCTCTTCAAACACTCAAACTTTGCGTCATTAATGTAGGTACAATACATTAAGTAATTGAAATAACTATAATAACAGGAAACGAACTTCATTTATATTTCTGTTTTGTCCGTTATGCTAACGAGACAGATATCTATTGTGACGACAGCAGGATGCTAATGATGCTTCGACTTACTTTAAATGCCGGTTTATGACTTAAGTCATTTGTTGTTTTTCTATTTATTATTTGTCGTATCTTTTCTTCTCAATAAAATAAAACAATGTAGAAGAGAAATAATCATGACAAAAACGGGTTAACGATTTCAGCCGATATTTCTTGCTCGTTAGGAAACCGGCTGCATTGTTTTTCCAGTCTAATTACGACTGCCGTCAGCTCGAACACACGCAGGTGAGGTTCGACTGTATCCCATAAACTACATTTCGCTGTTATTATTATTCCGTGTTCACGACAGATGTTTTACATCCGAACAGAAAAAGTACCTATCGTTTCCCATCGGTCCCTTGCAGGTGTAACAGACAGTCTGTAAGAAGATACTCAGGTGGGAAACGCAAATGCAATCTGTGCTTGCTTATATAAAAATGACGCCTGACATAAAGGCCTTATGAATACTAAAAGTAATTATTAATACAGGATATCTTTAATAAAGAATAATTCAGACCGTCGAGAAAAAGAAAAAGGTACTGCGCTGACTGGACAGTGGACACTGCTGTTAAAAAAGCACATAACTTCGTGAAACTCAGCAGTTCAGAGAAGTGCACATTATGTTCGTTGTAATCGAACGCATACCTTCAATAGACAGATCACGCAATAGCCATCTAGGGGTTTATATTTTCAACCCAGGAAAGTAAAACCTTCAAACTAAAGGCCTTGCTTACACACGGTCTATTTTGTTGTACGTCTCACCAAGGTCATGCACGATGAAAAGGAGGGTTACAGCAAAATGGAGCGTATGTAAAGCCTTTAAATCAACTCCTAAAATTTGTTTCAAGTATAACATTCGAGTAGGTCTCTTAGCAATAATGTCAACAATAACATACGAAGCATTCCATCTTAGTTCTTTAATGTGAAAACACATCTGCATTTTGATTTTTCATCGAAGATAGATATCTATGAGCGCCAGAGCAATCACTTATTATCAGGTGGACTGAGTGCCCGTTTCTCACCTTCATTCTATAAAAAAAAAATCGTTTTTATTCATAGACCATATTGATTCATGATTAATGACTATTAGCCTTAATAGATCAGAAAAGCTACTGCCACATTACAAAAACGTACGAACGAGCGTGTTCACACTTAGTACAGCCTATGTCGAAACAAGTTTCTTATTAACGAACCTTTTGTTACACAATAAATTATATATAATGTAACTATTATAATGTTTATAAAGTGCATATCAATTTAAACGTTAGAAAAAAAATAATTAAGATGGATTCCTTTATTATTCAAAAATTCTTAATTAATTAATTGATTGATGTTTTAACCTTTCGACGAAAATCCATTAAATCTTTGGAAATTGTTTTTTTTTTTAATAAAGAAAAGCAGTCTTCTTCCAGCAGGCTTACATGAATTGTTTAGTACTAATGTTAAGAAATACAGACTTGATGCGACAATTTAATTAATAATTTCACGATATAGACACTCCAATCAAGTATTGCATAGGTATTGAATATTGAAGGTTTTTCAGGCTACTCGAGCAACGTAAGTGGCGTCGGAAGTGTGGGTGGGGCTAGTGGTGCGACTCTTACCAACGGCGCTGGGGGGTCTCCGTTGGGCAGAGCGGCGGCTTCGCCCCCGGCCGGCGGGCCTTCGCCCATGGCGGCGCTCATGTCGGTGGCAGACACGCTGCCCCCCGGCAGCCCGCGCTCCGCTGGGGGCTCCCCCCCTCAGCCGCCTCCCCAACGCTCCAACAGCCGCTCCAGCCAGCACTCGCCCAACTCCTCAGGTTAGCAAGGAAAATTTAAAACCTCTAAACTAGAATTCAAACTAAAATTCTCCTAATTTCCCTCTTATGCCGGGTTTCTATACTTAAAAAAGCTTCGCTTTCTTTTATATGCCGTTCTGCAGTAATGGGGGCATCCACGACTTTTACGACACGTATTTACGCACTCTGTAAACCGATAAACTTTTTTATTAAATCGCTATTTCTCAATAAAAATGACCTTGTGTGACTAATAACTTCACCTCACTCCTAACTAGCGACATCTGGTGAGCTTATAAAATTATTTTTACTCATTTAAGTGCATGAAAAGAGTTTATTTACAACTTACAAACTCAACTGAACGCATGCATATAAAAGCATTTGATTTACAAGAGCCAGATAGTATTTTTGCAATGCATTATTTGCATTGCAAAATATTTAAATATTTGCATTGACTTTAATCAGATTAGAGATAGATCTTGTTTAATTATACTTACGAAAAGTATTGTGTAATAATGTTACTTGAATTTAACATACATTTCGGTTGTATTAACATTATAATTAACTGTGAGTAGCTTAAAAGTATGCAAGAATCGGAAAGCTGTACTTAAATTTATTATTTTTTCAAATAATAAAGCATTGCCAAATTAAAAAAGGCAGGATCTTGACTGCAAAGTTTCGGTTTCACGCACGAACGGTTATAAAACGCGCAGCGGATAAATAGTCGCTCGTGCGATCGGTTTCGTTTTCGGCCACCGTTAATCGAAACACCGACGACCGCTGCGCCCGCTGTTTTAGTACATTTGAGGCCGTGAGAGTTGCCGCCACCTTTGTTTCATTAAATTTTGTTTCTCGAAATCCAACATGATCATGTCGTCCTTAAAACACAACGTGGAATTTTATTATTATTACATGGTTCTAAAATGCCTACTACATTTTGGTTATTAGTAGACTTGCAACGAACATTCGGCTATTGGTCGATATTCGGCTTATTCTGCTACTTTTATCCTATTCTATTTTAATACAGAATACATAAGTAAGATGTTTTGTTGTACTCAGATAATTGGTAAAATTTCAGGCAGTAGTTTACTTTTTGTCTTGTACACAATCCCAGCTTCAAAGAAAGTAAACTCTGAATAAATAAATACTACTTGCTTCCCGGCCGAATACTTTTGCTCATAAACTACAATACTTTAGCAGAACATTTGGTATTTGGTGCTAGGCCGAATATACTACAGTGGAATCTCGTTTACTGTAACTTCCTTAAGTCGTAATCCCTAGTAAGACGAAAAAAAAAGCCGTTCCTGCGATTGCGGTATCTCGAATTATTTACACTTTGTTACTAGAACAAAATGTTATTTTTCGTACGAAGTATTAATAATACATATTTATACATTATAACTCGAATTTCAAACAGCAGACTCTGTAAGTCGAATTGAGTTAAATATAATGTCCTCTTACTTGGAAATCCCCGAACTCATAGCAATAAAATTCAAACGTAATGTTTTGTTGCTTCTGTTCTATTGTGTGTACTTGTACACATGCAATTAACGAGTACATTCATTAAACTTTGTAAGTAACACATTTGTGTACCTTATGTTTAGAAAAATCTCGGAATTCTTGTTAAGTCGAAAATTTATTATCTTAAAATTTTTAGCATTTCTCTTGAAATTCGAGTTATCCAGATTCCACTATTCGTTGCAAGTCTGGTTATTAGTATATACAAAAGATTTTAGTTTCCTGTACATGGAGACAACAAAGGTGGCAACAATTCGTATCGTATTACGCATCTCGTAACCGGTTTGCAACGTGTTGTGTGGTGTGTGATGGCGTTGCAAACTGAGGGTGGTGTGGGTGTTGGTGCAGGGTCGAACGGCGGGCGGCGGTCGTCGGGGTCGCGGCACGTGTCGTCCACGACGTCGGTGTCGTCGAGCGAGGCGGCCGACGCCGAGCCCGCGGCGCCGCTGCTCAAGTGCACGCTGTGCCAGGAGCGCCTGGAGGATACGCACTTCGTGCAGTGCCCCAGCCAGCCGCACCACAAGTTCTGCTTCCCGTGCTCAAGGGACTCCATCAAGCGCCAACAGGGCTCCGAGGTCAGTCTCACTTCCTGCACTACTGTATTGCTGCTGTGCCGCGATAATGGATGCTGTATATAGAGCTTTATTATTAACTTTAAAAAAAAAGAGCGATTTATTCTTTAAAAATATTTTTGAAGTGAAAACATCTATAGAATCGTTGCAATTAGAAACTCGATGAAACGAAAAATCGACGCTGAAAAGAGAAACATATATATCTATAGGATTTAACCTGCGAGAGAATGAGATAGAATACAGTACACCGTCTTTGTACGGTGCTTTAAAGATGGTTATATATTAACTTTTAACTGTTAAAATAAATAGTTATAAACTTTTTAAAGGTGTCACTTCTACCGGGTGTGAACTGTGCACATATTTTTCTTTTTTTTTTTTAAAGAAAAGGTCATCCTCGCACTAGGATTTTCTTTTGTATCGTATCGAGGTAGTTTACATACATAAATTTCACAAGGACAATCATACAGACCCGGAACAATTGTTTGTAGGCCATATAAAGTATAAACACTTAGCCACATAAACACTTAGCCACAGCGCCACGGAGCCGTCAAAGCTATTTAAAAAATATAGTTTAAAGAATAAATTTGCGTTAATTCTTCTTAATGTCAATAATATACTCTTTCCTTTGACAATGCAGCCGCCATTACATCGACATCTTTACGAGTGAGTTTTGCGAAATTGTGGTGTATCGGTCCGCGAAACGCACGACAAAGTAATTACCCTGTTATTCCATGTTCACGACCTGCGGTTATTGAAAACTTACAAAGCAACACATTTACTAAACTTCTTGAAATCTTCATTGAATCGCACAAACTCGCTCGTTTGTATCCATTTTTGTTAGATCGTTGCTCTAGCCTTTAGGAACGATTTAAAGACTATTTATTTTAATTTTCAGGTGTACTGTCCCAGCGGGGAGAAATGCCCCCTGGCGAACTCCACAGTTCCGTGGGCGTTCATGCAGGGTGAAATCGCCACAATACTAGGCGAGGAGTTCAAACCGAAGAAGGAGCGGGAGACCTAGGGCAGCGCCGCCTCGCTCCGACTCTACCTCTTGTCCCTCGCGCTGTAAGCGAGGAGAACGGCCTCGGCCTCGGCGGCCTCTCGGCCTCGTCGCAGCCGGCCCCGGACCTCGGCCTCGGCCTGTCGCTGTCTCGGCCTCGGCCGCAGCGGCACAGCTCGTCCGGCTCACCCGGCGCAACCGATGTGTATATAACTTTGTAAATAGTCGAGTTAATTTAGGCGCTCACCGAAACTGACGATTAGGAATCGTCTTTCGGCGGCCAAATGCCGTTGTATGAACCGTATTCAGTGTAGAGGATATGTTACTTCTTGTTGATTTACCCGCGCCGGGAACGGAGTTTGTAAGTTCTCGTTTGCAATTTCACCCCATCGCGGACAATGCAATATTCTGAATATAGTACATATCCGTTTTGGAGTATTTTTACAACGGATCTTTTGTCTCTTGGTCGTTGAAGTGCGTTCACGAGAACGCTTCGCGAAGCCGCTTCGCATGCGGAGTCTCTTCGGATGCCATTTTCTTAGTTACCCTTAGGTCCTGTACCATAGTGAACTTGGCATTTATTTATGTGATTATTATACACTTGTACGAGTATTATGCGATATATGACATGACATACAATAAATACTTTACTTAGTCGAGTACGGACTGTTGAAACCTGGTTTCGTATATTGGAAGCTCCCTGTACAGAATTAGCTCCTTGTATATTTGTATTTATTATAGCGCATTCGAAAATAGTCTTTTTTATACTATAATAATTGTGATTATTTCAGAGTGGCTCGAGTTCCGGTACTATCTCTGATTCGACGAATAAAGTCAGCCCGAGAATAATTTAAAATTTACGCTTTTTCCAGCGACCTTATTGGATCTGAGTCGATTGAGGGATTGTTCAAAAATTCTAATTACATTTGTTCACTCCAAGAAGCGTTCGGGTTGATTATTTTATAAGGTTAAGTCACGTCACGGAGTCGGGTACGTGTCATGAACTGACGCTTCGGGATTTTTTGCTACATCAATGTTCAGTGCAATTACCTGTCCTGAACGTTCAGTTTGCGACACGACAACTGGAGTAGGCTATATAGTATTAGCGAGATCGCTTTTGTGTGTTGGGGACGTGCCTAGTCATTTTGTGAATTGTCAGATCCGCGAGCAACGCGGCCGTTATAGGAACTCTTAAAACTCGCTGCTATATTTGTATAAAGTGAAGTAATTATCATTATATATGTATGTCATAATGTTAAACAGTTCTAGTGTGTGTCAATTTCGAAGGCTATCAGAAACGTGCGGCTTTATGGGTTTCTTTTGCGCTATTACCTCCGTTTAGTTTTCTTTTTTTTTCTAAAGTTCCCGATCCTTCAGCGAATGAATTGAATTGAAAAACATCCATCGAGAGACATTGAGAATACTATAAACACCTAACGGATCAATTCTAATCGCAAAAAAGTACGGAACAATACAAAATACAAAATGTTTAGGATCTCATGCTTAGGATATTCCAAATGATTTTGCATTATGTATCTTTCGCTAGGAATGTCATGAGCCGACTTGTACGTATCCTTAAATTAATGACAGTTCGCGTCCCGTACAGAGACGCAAATTCTTCCCAAACGCCGCGTATTACGAAGTTTCAATTAAATTGACTTACCCGTTATTTATTTTAGATTGTTTGTGTACATATACGTACCTTGTATATACTTCGTTTACTTGTAAATATTCATTTTGCGGGATAGCCGCACAGTGAAAGGCTATTCCTTCAGTATTATTAAGAACCTTGTAGTTATTTATCAAATTTTCTTTGTATTACAATTTTATTCAGTGGTTGTTATTAATATGTACAAACATCACACAATTATTTAAGTATAAGCTCACACTGCGTGCATTTTATTTGACGAGTGCTGTCGAGCACATTGGTAACGTTCGTAATTCAGTAAGCAATGTATGTTTATTAATTTATTTAAAAACTTGTGCAAGTTGTAATAATTAATAACAAACAAATCGATAAAGTTGATGAAGTTTGGGAGCCATCTAACGTCGTTTTTCTGATAGATTCGAAATTGATTATTAGCGTTATCAGTGGAACGCCCGTCCGGGCTTGTCGACTAAATTTTTAGCCGAAATCGGCAAAGGTACATTTTGTAAGCACACGTGTGCAACTGACTTTTGAGGTGATAAATATGCACATGAAAAATAAAACCTAGCGTAAAATATAAATATTTCACATTGAATTACAATAACATGTGTCTGTAAATATAATTTGTAATATTCATGGAGTTTTATAAATATTAACTAGGATATTTCGCGTCATAAGGTTTTAAATCTTATCAAACAAATATTTTAATCAATGTATTCATTAGTGTTGTATAAATATAACAGATGGTGATTTTATTTATTATTAAAACAAACTAAAGCAGAAACTAAATATAATAACTGAATATGCTATCCGTAAAACAATATGATCATAATGTAGCTTTTATATTAAAAGTAATTTATGTACAGCAGTTTATACATTATTAGAAGTCACGTCCATATATTTAGATTGTTAATAAACACATGCTTTTTAGAATTTCTTATTTTCTTTGGCTCGTTAGAATTTCTTAATTTTATGAATATATTGTTGTTTATAATATTTTCTAGGACGAAAGTCTAAAGTGGAAAAATTATTGTAACTGGCCTCATTTTTATGGTGTACCCAAAGGACTAATAATAGGACCTACATTGTACAAATTATATTAGAAAGTAATTGGCGTGTTCGTTGCCGGCATATGACAGCATACATGTATCTTGTGGATATTTATCACCTCAAAACTATAGTCCGCCTTTACCCATAGGCTTGTTTGTAGTTGTCGGCATTGTTTCGACACAAAAAATAATTTTGAGACTTGTATCTTTCTTACTGTAAGCAGCAAGTGAAATGCTTCGATTAAGACGTTAATGTAAATGTTGGTGAAATACAATTGATGTGATTTTGTAACATGGACCTTTTATTATACCCTCACCACTATACTGCAACCCTGGATTAAAAAATTAATAATATATACACGTAACACGATGCCGATTTAAACTAAGTATACATTTGTGTATTTTTTAAAAATACTTCAGAGGCGATATGATTGAGTATTAGAAATATATCATACTGATTTCTTAAATATTATTTTTCCGTTAAGTTGATATTATTAGATGGCAAAAACAATAAACAGCACAAAAGAAAACATTTGAAAGTTTACCATAGAAATACATATTACATGATCAAACTAATATTATTCTATAGAAAATTGGTAATAATATAGTTTGTAGAGGCATATCTTTATATATAAAAATCCGGTGTGCGTATGTTCCTTATTCTTCACCTAAACGGACCAATTTTTATGATTTATTATTGGGTACTAAATATAAAGTAACTTATAATAACTTATATATGGAATGGTTCTTGGCTATAGTTGGACAGAGCAGGTGACGCTATTGTTGAGAGCCAGTAATTGCCCGTGCGACGCTGGGACGGATCGCTACTATATTAATAAATACTGTATATTATTGTTATGTAAATAAATTATATAAACACAAATAACGAAGCATATATGGAACTTAAACGAAATTGTTAGACACGGTGAATAGAGGAAAGAAACAGCAGTGGACTTATTAGGTTGCAGTCTATCCGAAGTCGACTACTGGGCGTTGATTGATATTGACGGCGATTAAAATAAAACCAATGAATATTTTGTATGTTTGTCAACAGATCGGAACAACGGCGAGAGGATGCCCGAGCCGCTGTGTCTCACCAACAGATGAGATCCGAAGTTCACCGTTATCCTGTCGATCGATACTTGGTCAGTATAGTTAAAAAAATACTGTGGTTTGTTATTCAGAGTCCCTCCCTGCTTAGTCCTACACTAAAGTTGGTTTTTGAGTATACTATGATACGTATGCACTATCAGTGGACAGGTGCAGTCCGCTGACAGTACATACGATGCGTGTTTTTATGCATAGACTTGAGGAACTAAATTGTAATTACATGCGATAAGTTTCATTAGCAATATTACCATATTTCTGGATATAATATATGCCTATTAAACAATTCAAGTAACACACGTTACGTATACGTTACGACACAATATATTTATACAACAACTAAGATCGCAATCCTACTTAGCCTGAAAAATCAACTTATATTTGCTTTTGACTGAAATCCGGACCCTGAACCCACTGTTCTTAAATATTGTAAATCGGCTGATTAATATTATTTTTATAACCTTACAAGAAAAAAAAAGGTCTTTTGCACTTTGTAAACTTTATAGTTACACAAGAAGATTAAGTTCGATTATGGAGTTGGCATCACTAAATAATTTCATTTGTATTATTTGTGCGCTAGGACTTACTACATACTCGGCGGGTGTGATGGAAACATCATAAAAAACTTCAAATTTTAGTAAGAAATAAAATGTTTTGAGGCCATAATATAAAGACTGTCACTGGCGTAGCGTGAGCGCTTTTTTATAGCATAGGGTGACAAACGAACACACAATCCACCTAATGTTAAGCGGTTGCTGTGGCCCATAGACATCTACATCTTTCCTCGTTTGCGAATCAAAATGCAGATGCGTTGACACCCGTGAGGACTAAGATGGAATGCCTCTTTTCCAGTAAAAAGGGTCTCCGGTTCTCTACACTCACCATACGAAACACAGCAGTGTTAAGCTACTATTTTACGCCGGTATTCTGTGAAAGTGTGGTCCTACAACAATACTACTAATATAGCTGCAGCATGGATGGCTCTACCACGTATAGATGTTTATTTCATTACGCTTTCAGAAACGTGAATGAACTCAGCAGCGATTCTTTGCAAGCTCATTCTTATTACGTGTCTTGTCTATTACAGGTTGAAAGCAGCAAGAAAATTGAAATGGTTAACATCATAGATGATGAGATCTGGAACCCAGAGCCGGCGATAAGACCAGAAGACGAGGTAATGTTAAGAAAGCTACATGAAATGCTGCAATCAACCGCGGACGACCTAAAGCTGATCTCAGGAGAATTGATGAAATGTCGCGAGCCAAGGATACAATTTAAAACGTCACCCACACCATTGGATGAAGAATTTAATGAGAAGGTTTACATTGAAGAAATTGTAAATGCTAAATTTCATGGATACAAAATCTTTGATAAATCGCCCTGCAAAAAAGCACAAAATGATATGAATAATAAAAATTCTAACTCTGTATCGTCTAGGCCTGCGAAAAAAGCACTTAACGCCGCAGTTCAAGTAAATCAAATATCGGCAAGTAAAAAACCGGCTACTAAAAAGAACTTAGCTATATCACGTACGAAGATCGTTGAAATAGATGAACAACCGCAATATTTTAATGCAAAAGGCGTTAAACCTTTCAATCCTAGAATTAGTACTAATAATGGGCCGTTCGTAGCATATAATGAGTTCACATATAAATATGAAGAGCAAAAAATAAAACAGAGTAATCCAAAATCATTGCAGATACAGGAAATGCCAAGTATAAATATCAGAAGCGAATTGAAGGAACAGAAAGTTTTACAGTTAGATATATTACCTGAAGAACAAAAAAATATAGAGAGCTTGACAATGCACAGTAATGTTGGTGTTATTGCCGTGCAGCACGAATCTTCAAGCATAGAAAAAGCACCAGTTACTCACTATCCACAAGTACACTATGCAAAACCTGTCTCTAGTAAATCGAAAGTTAGAAAGGTGTCTAAAATGTTAACTTGTGAAAGTAGTGAATCGACTAACCATGTAAGCTCTGATACTCAAGATAGAACAACAAATCAAAACTTAATTAAATCTAACATTAGATCATCACTTAAATCTTCAACACGAGGCCATAATAAAAACAGTAATGAAAGTAAATTTAATAAAAATGAAAAAGGCAAGCTCCAACATCGAAACATCGATGAATGGAAGCGACAATTAGACACTATTTACGGTCATCCATCTACTTCCAGAAAAAACAAAATGCGTTCAAAATCAAGTTCAAAAGAGTCGCCTACGAAACCCAACACTTCACCGAGCCAAAAAAATATCAAAACGCAGAACTTATTGAATAACGCAGAATATATTCCTTATGCGAAACTTACATTAGGTGGCGTTAGAGTAAGTGATATAGAAAGAGAAATATCAGATATACCTGACAAAAACAACATTTCTTTGAATCCAATACTTGATAAAATTTTAGCGAGCCGAGAAAATTCTTTTCACGAGGACAATCCTAAACCAAATGAAGAAGAAGTAAATAAAAATATCCTGACTACATCAGATGAGAATTTACTTGAGGAAGTACTAGACATTGAGAAAAATATTGCGGAAACATTGTCTAAAAATCACAAGGTTAAACAAAAGAAATCGCCCGAAAGTTCTTTAAATATTTTAACCAATAATAGCGGAAGCGATAAGGAAAGCTACGACGACGATTTTGAAGACGAAAAGTCAGAAAATACACAATCAGAGGGTGCTGAAAACGTACAAGATAACATCAGTGATAAAACTAATCCAAACATCCATAATGCAACCTACACAAAATCTTCAAACCTATCATTTAAAAACTCTGTAGATATTTTTGAATTTATTCATTCTATTGATACTCAAGACAACGCCACTCAAAGTAATACTACACACAAAATATCTTTAAAAGCTACTCAAACTTCGCCCAGAACAAATATACAACCCATTCGCAACGACTTGTGGCCTTCCGTGCATCCGAGAGATGAGGTTGACCAATTATTGAAGGAAGATTTCATCAGGAAACTTATTGTCGACGAATGCGCTAATATTTTACAGAAAAATGTAGCCCAACCGTCTACTTCTAAAGATGAAAGAGAGAATGATAAAGCTAAGAAAAATTTTACCGCATCACAAAAGAACACACAAACGTCTCCAGCACACGTAAGAAGCGTTATGACATCACCCACAAAAACTAAAACGAGGACAACATCACCTTTTGCATTGTCTCTCACTGTTGACCACCAGACCAGTCCAATAGCATGTATAAGTAATGAAGAGCTACACATCGAGTTAGGTAAAGTTGACGACCTAGCGGTTTCAATAAATTTATCTTCGCCAAGGTTCAGTTTACGACTTCCACAAAGCTCTCGCGAGGTTATTTCTAATCTCGACGGCACCTCAAGTAAACGCAATCACAAGCTAAACAAAAGTGAAACAAAAACATTCTTTGGAAAATTTACTAGTTCGAGTTCCACAGATGCCGATTACTCGTCATCGGATATTAGTAGTTTAGGTGAAATCAAAAATAAATTCAAGAGGAAGTTAAGAAAAACTAAAATTCCTACTATATCCGAATCAAGCGAGTCATCCATCGCTTCGAAGTACAGTTCTGACATTTCCAGTGTCATTCTTCCGCTGAAAAGCGAGGGTGAAATTAGTTTAGGGCAAACCGATAAAGTAAAATCTAGAAGCGACGGAGAAGTTAGTTTAGGACAAGAAATACATTGATCATAAGTATTTTAATATCTGTTTGAACATGTAAAACTAGGGTATAGCGGCTCGTTTTGTGGCAGATTGGAAGTTTTTTTTCTAAGGTTGTCATTGCCTGTATTCGCCAGTCCTAACCACCTCGGGTCGCCCTCAATCGCGTCGATTTTTATTTATTACTAGCGAACCGCCCCGACTTCGCACGGGTGATTTCTGGATCTCGACAACAGCGCCACCTACCGGGTCCAATTGTGAATTACCTATATAACCTTCCAGATACTTAAACGCACACAAAAATTCATTAAAATCGTTCGAGCCGTTTTTAAGTTTTAGCGAGACTAACGTACAGCAAATGATGTTTATACAATATATAAGGGATAGAGATTACCTATATGTTTTATTATATAAGGGCTTTTCTTTTATTCCTTTGCAATACAGCACGCACGTTTGATCAATAGAAATGTAACGGCGGGAACAAGTCAATTCAGGCTGACGCATGCCATTGGGACGTTTCAGCGCGGGCGTAATCTTTCGCAGTGACCTTAATAGGCGTAGCACGAGTTTTTATAGAATAAGGGTGACAAACGAGCACACAGGCCACCTGATGATAAATGGATGCTGTGGGCCATAGACATCTACATCTATACTCGAATAAGAATCAAAATGCAGATGCATTGTCACCCCTGAGGACTAAGATGGAATGAATACCACGTTACCAGTAACAAGGGCCTCAGGATTTCCGTTGTCTGTGATGAAACAGGCCGTGAGAACCTGGCGTAAAAATGAATTTAGTTGTTAATATTTTGCAATTCTTCAGGGTGTAATCCGAGCCTTCCTTATCTTATTGCATAAGTTTGGGAACGAAAATGACTAATCAAAGTATGAAAGATATATATGATTGAGATTTTTTAAATATTATATAATACATTAAGAAGTCATTAAGATCCTTACCGGTTACCGGTTTTTAAATAGCACCGTGTTGAGTTTGAATGGTTAAACATATGTATGTAAGTACTCTAAGGGTTAAACGATATGCTTATGTATTAATGATGTTGGTAACAATGTTGTTTATAGTTTCAAATATTTTATATGGTTCGCTTACGTTGGCTTAGCAAAATTGGCCAGTATCTGGAGATTTGTTTGTGCCTTATCTCTAGTTTGTTCGCTCACCTTAAGTACAAATAGTTGTGGTTACGTATCGCAAAACATTTGTGATATTTAGGATTAAGTTAGGATAAGAATACTTTGTAGACATATTTTACGCCATTAAGTTGTTTATATTTATGTAACATTTACTGATTAAAACATTTGCTTAAAATGTGGTATTTATTTCCTCTTCTTGCAAATGTTCAAAGCCTAAATCAAGCTAACGAAGTTTCGAAGTAATGCGGTATATATAGAATAGCTCCAAACTACTAGATGGAGCGTTGGCCGCTCCTGAGGCTGAATACCTTGCCCGGAGATCTCCCCATTCATACTACGGTCAAAACACATTATGATGTGTGGGACCCCTAATAGATGAAGTACCGACCTGGATGCATGAAGTCGATGGATGCAAGTTGTAAGTGGTTCAGGACCTTGTTTGGGCAATTCTTGGGTTTGGATAATTTCTTGATGATAATAGTATATTTTTCAATGTCCAAAATTTTCAATACCGTGTACCGAGTAGCGACTTGTTATATCCCCCGGATGATCAGACAAAAGCCGACAAGAGAAAGAAAGAGTCATTTATTTAGCATATACAGACAAATACAGGCAGATAAGAGATGGGACGCGGCGGGTCAGGTATCGTATTATGATATACGGTATACCGTCGATCATGATACATGTATCCGATTTGAGGTTTTTTGTGGAACGAGACGTATCAGACATGTTAACACAACGGCATATCACATCGTAAATTCCACTCACAGCCTGAACATAGGCCTCCCTCATAGATTTCCTCACAGAAGGAATATTTGCCATATTTGCGCTTGGCAGGCTGGTTGGCAATAAACTTGAGTTATTAGGAAGATGCTGCTGCCCATATCCTGTTTCAGCTTCACGTCGACTTGTGGGTGTACCTCAAATCAATGCAATGTCATAGTCAAACGAAGACTTCAGAACAAAAGTAAGAACGCATTCGAGGACTCGAGGGCCCATCCAGGCGCTTAGCAAAGGATTACAATAGGTAAGCGATTACAATAGCTAATTACGAAAGTTTATCGAACAAATTGGCGATATATTAAAAATGGGCCAAATCAAGAGTACCTTTAACCGACAAGCGTGTATGCGTAGGTATATGGATGTGGAGGAAGCGAGAGAGGTGTGTCAGGATCGTGCCAAATGGAAATCCTGACACACTTCCGTCCATAATCTCCGCCTACCCCTCTGGGTGACAGGCGTGAGTGTTTATGTATTATGTATGTATTATGTACAATAGCCACGGGCAACATAGCGAAAGATTTTAGGATACTAGTAAAATCTCAATATAACTGAGCATTAGATGTTACTGAGTACTGTTGATTAAAATATTACGAACACTATATCATTGAGTTTTCACACACACACACACACACTCACACACACGCCCACCCACACACACACACACACACACACACACACACACACACACACACACACACGCCCACACACACACGCTCTCAAACATACTCACACACAGACACACACACACTCTCACACACATACACACACGCGCACGCACACACACGCACGCACACACATGCCAAAACCAGGGAACATTAAATAATGCATTATAATATTTTTTTATTAATTTTTAAATACCGCACAAAGATAGTCTTTGCCGATTTTAGAATAGAGAAATTTAAGGGCGGCATTTATGGCTCTAGCGGCCATAGGCGGTAGTTTTAGAATGATCATTGTTGAATTGTTACATTTTTTTATAGAATAAGGGTGACAGACGAGCACACAGTACATCTTATGGTAAGGGGATACTGTGGCCTATAGACATCTAAATCTATCCTCGATTAAGAATCAAAATTCAGTTGAGTTGTCCCCGGAGAACTAAGATGAAATGCCCCATTTTCAGTAAAAAAGGGGTCTCCGGTTCTCTACACTTAGCATACGAAAGAGCAGCATTAAGCTGCTATTTCACCCATAATATAGCTTTAGCATGGCTCTACCACGTATAAAGCCTGCCAAGCGCGTAACGTGCAACGTTCGAGTGATTAGTGCATTTAAAATCAAAAGCTCAAAATTTAATTCCATTCTACCCGACGCGTTGCGGCCGCAGAAGAAATAATTGTGTAAATATCGTTTTATATTTAGAAGACTTATATCTATGTTTAATTAATATATATGTAATATATATGTTTAATTATGAATGATAATACTTCCATTAAAGTTGAATGATATTGTAGCGGACAGTCAAGAAGGCCGCCGCCCCGTCGCCCCTTCACACCCCGTTGCGCCCCGCGCACCCCGCACACCGGCAGCAGATCACGCGATGTCGCCGACCAATCAGCGCACGGCATCGCCTTACGACGCTACTCACAAACCGAGACGCTCTCTTGCGGGATATAAGAAGGGCGTTTTGGTCTGTGAGTTGTTCATTTTGGAAGCGGCACTAGAAGAAACCTCAAGAGAAATCCAGAAGCCACATTTGTAAATAGTTGAATACAGTATAGTTCTACAGTACCATCTTTTCTTTAAGCAGTACCCTAGCGTAGTCAATTAATACAGTCCATTAACAAGTAAATTTCGTACAGTCCACGTTCGATCCCTTATATTCTTGGTCCTTCGCCGCCGGATAAGAAGCAGGAAGATTATAATCCATTATATTCTTGGTCCATCATCGCCGGATTCAAGCCAGAAGAAAGAAGTACGTTGACGAAGAGAGAAGATCGTCGGTACTAATTCCTTCCTCGTTTCTTATTACATCTACGTCATATACGCATATTGTCTGTTTCCAGACAATTCTTGTTTCTTAAACCGCGTTAACGCGGCCGGGTGGTTGCTCCCTAACGGTGGCAAACTGTGACCATCTGGTAACGCCCTTGAGGCGGGAACGGCGTCCAATACTTGGGTCTTTTTGAAGACGATCGGAGGTCGCAACGTGGGACATCATCATGCGGAAGATAAGAAGCCAGAAGACACGGAACGACGACGAAACGCCAGTAGGAATGCGGATATTCGAGGAAGCACCCGCGTCCCCGTCCGATTATCTCGCGTTGGCACAAGCGCCCTCCGCCGCGCCGCAGCCCCCGCTCGCGCCCGCATCTATGCCCGCGCCCGCGCCCGCGCCGCCGCGCCCCGCTATGTCCGTGTCTACAACCGATCGCTTGGGAGAAGTTAGCACATCCGCGCCGCGCACAGAGACGCTCGCCGCGATTATAGAAGATCTTCCGACTACAGAGACTAGTTCGATAGTGCGTACCGTCGCTCCTGTAGCAGACGTTGTACATAGGCCCGCGCCCCGTCGGTCCGTCGGTCCGTTCAGTCCTTTCAGCCCGGTCGACAGCTAGCGCAATAGCAAAGTTAAAGCAAATCAAGTATAATACCGCGGAGGAACTAGCTGCAATTAGAAGGAAGGAATTACAAATCGAGGAAGATCTCATCAAGAAGAAGTACGCTAGGGACATCGCTCAACTGCAAGAAGAAACGGATAGGGAAAGTTTAAACGAGGACGAATTAGTGGAAAATAGGGTACGCGTTGATAGGTGGTTAGAGAACGTAGAGACTGTGCGGGGGGAGCCGCCCTACCGCCCGTCTCAGCCCGCGCCCCGCATCGAGATAGAGCAGGCCCCGCCGAGTAGGGGAACCGGTTACGTCCACGCTGAAGATGCCCAGGGGAGGTCGGTTGTGAATGATGTTCAACCGCGCCGCGTAGATACGATACAGAAGGACAACGGAGTCGCCGTAGAAATGAACCAGGTGGATCGCCGTGTACGGGTTACGTCGCCGTCGCGCGTCCAACGCCGCACTCTATCGCCTATACATAGATCGCCACATCGCCACGCGGATCGTAGATTACCGTTGCCGTGTAAGGATGTAGGTGCACG